TCTATTCGCGAAAGTCCAAGTCAATACCACGAAAAATATTTGTTAAGACATATTTAGGAAACTATTATTAGCACTCCAAAAATCTCATTCTACACTCCGCACAAATATATTTTTCTTTCTAATTATAAAAAGTTTGGAGTGCCAAATGAGATTTTTGAAGTGCTAATAACAATTTTCTATATTTATATACCTTTTATTTTAGTTTGGAAGTCGACTTCCTTTTTTTTCTTTCTTTATCAAGTTGGGAGTATCACTAACTGTGACCCTGTGCAACTAATTGTTGATTCGTTTTGAATAATCAACATTATTTCTTACAATGTCTTGGGTGTATGAATAACAGAAGGAAAATGGTCATGATACAAGCTGAATAGTAGTAATACTAATTAGTAAACAACTTGTGCATGATGTTTGCTTATAACCAAGTGGCATGAAGGGAAAAATGTGTAGGTTTCATCCATGACTTTGAATAGTATTAGTAAATGCATGATGTTTGCTTATAACCAAGTGGCATGAAGGGACAAATGTGTATGTTTCATGCATGATTTGGAATAGTATTAGTAGTCGGGAGATTTTGCATCAATTTGTTTTTGTTTTTAATATGTATATATTAAGTTCTATTTTAATGGGATTGCTCACCACCCCTAAGTTGTGATAATGACTTTATTTATCGTTGTTATGTGAGTTTAATTAAAATTTGAGATTGTGTTCATGCACTACATACATTTCGATTTTTTTATTTTATTTTTTTAATCGAGCAATCGCTTTAGTAAGTTAGATGTTAGATTAGTGACTAACAGAATTCAAACCGACACCATCATGCGAAAGCACGACACGTTTTTACCACTGTGGTAAACGGCCACTTTCCATCAAGTTAATTGGCCTGTGTGACTTTACTAATACTATTCCAAGTCATGCATGGAACATACACATTTGTCCATTCATGCCACTTGGTTATAAGCTAACATCATGCACAAGATGTTTACTAATTAGTACTACTCTTATTCAGCTTGTATCATGACCGTTTTCTTTCTTTTATTCATACGCCCAAGACATTGTAAGAATAATGTTGATTATTCAAAACGAATCAACAACTAGTTGCACAAGATCACATTCAGTGATACTCCCAACTTGATAAAGAAAGGAAAAAAAAAAGAAAAAGGAAGTCGACTTCCAAACTAAAATAAAATGTATATAAATATAGAAAATTGTTATTAGCACTCCAAAAATCTCATTTGGCACTCCAAATGTTCACGAATAGACTTATAATTTATGGTATCTAATAAATATTTAAATTGAAAATATTCATTGATCTACAAAATTTTCTCATGGAGGTACTCATTTTTTTGCCACAGATACCAATATAGAGGCTAAAAGACATTACAATATTAAATTCATATGCGGTCGAGATATTTATGAATTTAATCATTAAAATGCATAAGCTCAATTATACATTCAAGTTAGATCAATTCCCAAAGTTTTGGTTAACAATAAAAACTGCTTACCTATGAGTTCACCTATAAAATGTGCAAAGGCGATATACTTTTTTACCACAATTCTATGTATTGTGAATTTTTGTCCGCAACTTTTGTGGCATCTAGAGGCTAAAAGATACTACAATATTAAATCCATATGTGGTTGAAATATTTATTAGTTTATCATTAAAATGCATAAACTCAATTACACATCTAGGTTAGATAGATCAATTCCGGAAGGTTTGCTCCACAATAAAAACTGCTTAACTATGAGTTCACCTTTAAAATGTGCAAAGGGGATATACTATTTAGCCACAGTTCAATGTAATGTGAATTGTTGTCGATAAATTTTGTATCTAATAAATATCCATGGTTTCGACAAAAAAATAAATAAATAAATATCCACGGTTAAAAATATTCATTGATCTACCAAAAGTTATCATGGACGTACCCATTTTTCTACCAAAGATAGGAATATATAGTCTAGAAGATTCTCATTGAATTGAAACATACCAAACTTATTAAACACTTTAACCAGAAGCTCATTTAATTGAAAAGAAAAAGGAATCAATACGTAAAAATTGAACCAATCAATTGAACACATACCAATTATTAAGCTAATTAGTGCTCTAGAAATTTAGAGATGTCAAATGATGAAGAAAAGGAAGAGGAAGAGGTTTGGATGACTACGGAGGAGTAGATGGGGTGCAGAAAGGGAACCATGGGAGATGGAAGGATTTTTTAAAAAGAGAGAGAAGGGGCTTTGCTTCATGGAGATGATGGACTGGTTAGGGTTTTATTTGTTATTTTTAAGTAGATTAAGTTGGGTGTAAAAAGAAGTTCGATTGAGTTGAGTTTTGATAAGTAAGGGCGGTTTCAGAAATAACATTGGATGTAAAGAGATAATGATAGATAAATCAAATACAATGTAGGTATAAAAAGTAAGCTGGGTGTTGAGATACAAAATATGGGTTCAAATAAAATTTCCCTAATAGGAAAGGCTGATTATAAATGTGTTGGATGAAACATAAAACTAAAAAGTGATAACCGGTAATTATGTCAAATTAACAATTAAATTAATTAAATTAAAATTTTAATGTGTGGGATGAAAGTTATCAATTTTTTGTTTACATGAGAGTCAAGACCTAGATGGCCCGTTAGGCGGCCGCCTAAGCGGGTCTACGCACAATTTCTTAATTTTCAAAGGCCTGGAGACTAAGTGGGGACGTGACTGGCCACCTAGCGCCTATGCGGGAATTTTTAGAACAATGACTTCAAGTGAAGAAGAATATCGAAAAACCGCTGTACTAAGTAACAAGGATAATTATTTCATTTCTTTTGTTTTTTTATATGGAAGAAAAACGTGAAAGAGTGAAGGGTTGGAGAAAAGTTGGAAGAATTTAAATTAGTATAATTGTCGTTTCATCTTTATTATGTAAATATTGTTTAGGAAATTTTTTGAAGTATCATATGAACTTATACACCTTTTTTAAATTTGTCATATGAACTAAAATTTTAAGCAATTTGTCATATAAATTTTCTAAAATCATTAATTTGTCATATCACTCTAACTGCATTACGTTTTGCATCCAAAATAAGCCATATGGCTTGCACATGAATTATTTTCAAGGTTATTCTAGACATTTCAATTCCCCACTTACCTTCAAGATTATTTCGAGAATTTCAATGTTATTTTGGACATGTCAACTCCTTTGTTTTTTATAGAAACAAATGATCTCAAAGCTTGCAATTAGTTAAAATTCATGTTAGTGAGCCTAATGTTGTTGACAATAAGTTTTTAAAATGAACCTGACATGTTCTTTTTACCAACCAAAAGTTTTTGGTTCATACGAAAGAAAAGCAGAGAACTTGTGAAAAGGAGGTCAAAAGTCTTAAACTGATTTATTCCCCCCATCCCATGTTTAAGATATCTATGTATAAGAATAAAAACTAAAATATAAAACTTGTGAGTAACCTTGAACACAAGTTATGTGTGTTGTTTTATTTTTATGAAAAACTAACGGATGTTAGATGAAAAGTTAATGATTTCAAATAATTGATATGACAAATTAAAAAAAAATGTATAATTTCATATGACATTTCAAAAATTTTCCCATGTTATTTTACTACAAGGATAATATAAGTAAATTGGTGACATGGTTGGTGTCTTGAGAAAGAGGTTGACAATCTCTCGTGGAGTTTCATTCTGCCTTTAAATTGTTGCCACGTGACATTCTACTATAGATTTAACTCCTCAATTTTTTTTGGTCAAACAGTAGATTTTGTCAAATTAGATGTTAGATTAGCTATCTACGGATTGAAACTCACACCGTCATGAAAGCGCTCAACTCCTTTCCACCACTGTGGTAAAGGGCCACTTGCGATTTAACTCCTTAGTTGGAGATGCCAAAATCACAACATTCATGGGGAACACGGAAGCACATTTGCTGGAGGGCCGCTTATTTGTGCTGCAGCCCTTGCCGTTTTGGACAAAATCTCAAAGCCTGAGTTTCTATCGAGCGTCTCAACCAAAGGTCGGTAACAAGTACGCTGGGAACAAATCCACATGTGAAAGAAGTACGTGGTTTCGGGGCTCATTGTTGGGGTAGAGCTAGATGTATCCGCTTCGGGCTTGTGGATGCCTGTCGAAATTCTGGCCTGCTCATAATAACACCGGGAAAAGGAAATGTTTTCAGGCTTGTGCCCCCATTGATTATCTCTTTGCCAGAATTGGAGCATGCGGCTGACATTTTGCTTGAATGTTTGCCAGTCCTTGATGCCTCAGATTGAAGTTAAATCACCATTTATTTTTGAGAAGTGATTTTCGCACTCTGTTTTTCTCCTCTACTCTCTTCTCTTTCGTCCTAGCCTTTGATTTCAATAAATCAAAGGAAAATCAAGGGACAAAATCAAGTGGAGGAGTACAGAAGGAGAAATCCTAAGCGTATGTGAAAATCACTAACCTCTAGTTTTATGTCAGAAATGTTACCTGTTGATTTTTATTTGCTCCCTGTATATTTAGAGTACAAAATGTAGCCTATATACACACCACTGGTTCGGAATCCCACGTTCGCAGCTTCTAATCCATGTTAAATCATTCTAATTAGTCGTTGACACCAAAAAATATCTAATTAGCCAAACAATCAATCAATATTGTTAATGAAGTCTAAACATGAGTGACATCAACACTCCAACAAAACTGAATCCATATATACAACACGCAGGATGGATCATAATCTGGCAGCAAGAGGATAAGAAGATCGGTCTAATTCGAAGAGGACCATACATTCTCTTAAGCACCACTTGATAACTACAAGGACCAAATTAATCGTTTGGATGACATAATTGTCACCCTCTAAAAAATATACATCACAAAATTCTTATCCACATACTTACTACTAATGTAAGGACAATACATGATAAATATAAACATTATCATAACTTCCTAACCTAGGAGACATGCTACTGAGGCGAGGGTGAGAAAAAAAATCTCATATGATGCTGGTCTTGTTAGGTGACATTGTTGGGTGGTAAACAAACAGTTTATAAGATGGATGCACTCAAAGTTGATGAACACACGTTATCTTTTAACTAAACTATTTTGTTACTCATCACTGACATATTACGACTTACACTGACATATGACAACTTACATGAACCTGCATAGGCATCACCGACATATTACAACTTACACTGACATATTACAACTTACATCAACCTGCATAGGCACTAAACAATTTCTCCAGAAAGCCTTGCTATGCTGCCGAGTTGCTATTTGCAGAGCTTTTTGTACCCTTCAACCAAAGACCTTAAGATATAGGGTAAAAAAAGTGCAAGGTATATGTAAGAAGATTTGACATTAGTATGGGCAGTTATAAGCGCAATGGAAGCACCATAGGTAAATGACATAGAAAACAAGGCAACCCATATCTCCAGATAAAATGGAAACTTATACACAAGATATAAGATCACGAGTATGGATGAAGAAAACGCTGACGTGTTAAAGAAAAGGAACAAACTGAAGGCGTGTCCAGTAGTAGCCCAAACTGACTTACCGGCTAAGTGGTCATCACTCGTGGTGTTAGCTTTACCGTAGTCGGTTTCTTGCCAAACACCACCAGGAGGATTCAATCCCGCTGTGAAGGTTGCTGCAGTAATCAGGGCCGCCACCACTAACAGAACGTTTCTTACGTCGGTTTCCGAGTCACGTTCTGGATTATACTGAAAGTGTTTCAGCAGTTTGGAGGCAGATTCACGAGATGAACGGGGCTGTTCAACATTCATGGCAGCCGTTGAAATTTATTCGCACTAGCAGAAAGCAGTCACTACCATATAGCAAGTGTTAAGAAGGAAATTAATTAGGACAACTACTTAAGAATGAGATCTATCTGCCTCCCCCTCACACTCTTTAATTTAAGGGGAAACTTGACATAAGTCCATTTTTGAGCCAATAGTAGGAATAGTCCAGTGTATTAAAATAAGTTCAATTTGTTATATTTAATTAGTCAATTATCAATAATTATTTGTTCAATGATAATATTTATTATAAAAAATCAAATTGTTTCCCAATTATCTCTTTGCTTATTTCTTTTTATTTATCTTTTTGTTATTTCTCGTTTTTCTTCCTACTTTAAACCCCATTTATAGATTTTATTTTTAACTTTTATAATCAACCTATATCACAAGTTAATTATATTTATCTACCTATATGACAAATTCTTTTTTTATTGTTGACCAAAACTTCGGGAATTGATCTAACTTGAATTTATAATTGAGCTTATGCATTTTAATGATTAAATTCATAAATATCTCGACCACATATGAATTTAATATCGTATTGTCTTTTAGCCTCTATATTGGTATCTGTAGCAAAAAAATAGGTATGTCCATGAGAAAATTTTGTAAATCAATGAATATTTTCAATCTGGATATTTATTAGATACCAGAGATTATAAGTCTGTAGACATCAAAATTTCGGTGAAATGAATGTTGACCAATAATTAAAATTTCAACGCTCACGTATCACATAAATTTTACATGTAGCGTGTGACTCAACGAAAAATCGAAATAAATTGGAAAAGTCATCAAATAGGACACGTGTCAATACCTGGCAGAAATGATTTATTTCATCTGATTATTTAAATCCAAAAATCAAGTTTTGGAATTCTATAAATAGGAAGCCAAGACATTCATTTTGGAAAAAAAGAATGGAAGAGGAATTGACATTACACCAAAACCTTGAAGCCTTGAAACTCTAAAGCTCTCAAGCAAATCCCGAAGGATCAAGAAAGCACTCTTCGTTCTTCGTCAAATCCTCCTTCAAGATCAAGCCCCAACGGCCATTGAAGAACTTCCACCAACTCAAGATCAAGCCCCGACGGCCCCTTGAGGAAAGTGTTCATTGTTCATCATCCGTTCATCCTAAGATCAAGCCCCAACGACCCTTTGGATCAACAACCTCAACAAATCCACACATCCAATCGTTCTTCAAGATTAAGCCCAAAAGCCCTTGAAGATCCGCTCATCCATCAACCTTCAAGATCAAGCCCCAACGGCCCTTGAAGAACTTCCACCAACTCAAGATCAAGCCCCGACGACCCCTTGAAGAAAGTGTTCATCATTCATCATCCGTTCATCCTAAGATCAAGCCCCAACGGCCCTTTGGATCAACAACCTCAACAAACTCATATACCCATTCTTCAAGATCAAGCCCAACGCCCCTTGAAGATTCATTCATCAACTGTTCATCCTTAGATCAAGCCCCGACGGCCCTTTGGATCAACAACTCATCCACAAACCTACACCCTACGAAGATAGAATCAGAGGACCAAATTACAAAGAGATTGTAACCCCAAAATCATTAATACAAAAATATATTTTGTACACGTATTCTTGTCTCTTGTTTCAGGAATTTTTCGTGTTTACAAAGTCTATTTGCGAAAGTCTAAGTCAATGCAACGTACAATATTTGTTAAGACATATTTAGGAAACTATTATTAGCACTCCAAAAATCTCATTCTACACTCCACACAAGTATATTTTTCTTTCTAATTATAGAAAGTTTGGAGTGCCAAATGAGATTTTTGAAGTGCTAATAACAATTTTCTATATTTATATACATTTTATTTTAGTTTGGAAGTCGACTTCTTTTTCTTTTTCTTTCTTTATCAAGTTGGGAGTATCACTGACTATGACCCTGTGCAACTAATTGTTGATTCATTTTGAATAATCAACATTATTTCTTACAATGTATAGGGCGTATGAATAACAGAAAGAAAACGGTTATGATACAAGCTGAATAGTAGTAATACTAATTAGTAAACAACTTGTGCATGATGTTTGCTTATAATCAAGTGGCATGAAAGGACAAATGTGTAGGTTTCATCCATGACTTGGAATAGTATTAGTAAATGCATGATGTTTGCTTATAACCATGTGGTATGAAGGGACAAATGTGTATATCTCATACATGATTTGGGACAGTATTAGTCGTCGGGAGATTTTGCATCAATTTGTTTTTGTTTTTAATATGTATATATATTAAGTTCTATTTTAATGGGATTGCTCACCACCCCTAAGTTGTGATAATGCCTTTATTTATCGTTGTTATGTGAGTTTAATTAAATTTTGAGATTGTGTTCATCTACTAAATACATTTTAATTTTTATTTTTTAGTCGAGCGATATCATTAGTAAGTTAGATGTTAGATTAGTCACCGACAGAATTCAAACCCATGTCGTCATGCAAGAGCACAAGAAGTTTTTACCACTGTGGTAAATGATCACTTTCCAACAAGTTGATTGGCATGTGTGACTTTACTAATAGTATTCCAAGTCATGCATGGAACATACACATTTGTCCCTTCATGCCACTTGCTTATAAGCTAACATCATGCACAAGTTGTTTACTAATTAGTACTATTCTTATTTAGCTTGTATCATGACCGTTTTCTTTTTGTTATTCATACGCCCAAGACATTGTAAGAAATAATGTTGATTATTCAAAACGAATCAACAACTAGTTGCACAGGGGTCATAGTCAATGATACTCCCAACTTGATAAAGAAAAGAAAAAAAAAAAGGAAGTCAACTTCCAAACTAAAATAAAATGTATATAAATATAGAAAATTGTTATTAGCACTCCAAAAATCTCATTTGGCACTCCAAACTTTCAGGAATAGACTTATAATTTCTAGTATCTAATCAATATTCAGATTGAAAATATTCATCAATCTACAAAATTTTCTCATGGAGGTACCCATTTTTTTGCCACAGAAACCAATACAGAGGCTAAAAGACATTACAATATTAAATTCATATGCGGTCGCAATATTTATGAATTTAATCATTAAAATGCATAAGCTCAATTATACATTCAAGTTAGATCAATTCCCAAAGTTTTGGTCAACAATAAAAACTACTTACCTATGAGTTCACCTATAAAATGTGCAAAGGCGATATACTTTTTTACCACAATTCTATGTATTGTGAATTTTTGTCCGTAACTTTTGTGGCATATAGAGGCTAAAAGATACTACAATATTAAATCCATATGTGGTTGAAATATTTATTAGTTTATCATTAAAATGCATAAGCTCAATTACACATCCAGGTTATATCAATTCCCAAAGTTTTGCTCCACAATAAAATGCTTAACTATGAGGTCGCCTTTAAAACGTGCAAAGGTGATATACTTTTTAGCCACAGATCAATGTAATGTGAATTATTGTCTACAACTTTTGTATCTAATAAATATCCACGGTTTCGACAAAAAAAAAATAAATAAATAAATATCCACGGTTAAAAATATTCATTGATCTACCAAAAGTTATCATGGATGTACCCATTTTTCTACCAGAGATAGGAATATAGAGTCTAGAAGATTCTCATTGAATTGAAACATACCAAACTCATTAAACACTTTAAATTGAAGCTCATTTAATCGAAAAGAAAAAGGAATCAATACCTAAAAATTGAACCAATCGATTGAACACATACCAATTATTAAGCTACTTAGTGCTCTAGAAATTTAGAGATGTCAAATGATGAAGAAAAGAAAGAGGAAGAGGTTTGGATGACTATGGAGGAGTAGATGGGGGTGCAGAATGGCAACCATGTGAGATGGAAGGATTTTTTAAAGAGAGAGAGAAGGGGCTTTGCTTCATGGAGATGATGGACTGGTTAGGGTTTTATTTTTTATTTTTAAGTAGATTGAGTTGGATATAAAAAGAAGTTCAAATGATTTGAGTTTTGATAAGTAAGGGCGGTTTTAGAAATAACGTTGGGTGTAAAGAGATAATGATAGATAAATCAAATACAATGTAGGTATTTAAAGTAAGTTGGGTGTTGAGATACAAAATATGGGTTCAAATAAAATTTCCCTAATAGGAACGGCTGATATAAATGTGTCGAATGAAACATAAAACTAAAAAGTGATAACCAGTAATTGTGTCAAATTAACAATTAAATTAAAATTTTAATGTGTCGGATGAAAGTTATCAATTTTTTGTTTACATGAGAGTCGAGACCTAGACGAACTGTTAGGCGCTCACCAAGTAGGTCTACGCACAATTTCTTAATTTTCGAAGGCCTAGAGACTAATTGGGGACGTGACCAGCCACCTAGCGCCTAGGCAGAGCTAGGCAGGAATTTTTAGAACAATGACTTCAAGTGAAGAAGAATATCGTAAAACCGTTGTACTAAGTAATAAGGATAATTATTTCATTTCTTTTGTTTTTTTATATGGAAGAAAAACGTGAAAGAGAGAAGGGTTGGAGAAAAGTTGGAAGAATTTAAATTAGTATAATTGTTGTTTCATCTTTATTATGTAAATATTGTTCAGGGAATTTTTTGAAGTGTCATATGAATTTATACACCTTTTTTAAATTTGTCATATGAACTAAAATTTTAAGCAATTTGTCATATCAATTTTCTAAAATCATTAATTTGTCATCTCGCTCTAACTCCATTACGTTTTGCATCCAAAATAAGCCATATGGCTTGCACATGAATTATTTTCAAGGTTATTTTAGACAATTCAATTCCCCACTTACCTTCAAGATTATTTCGAGAATTTCAATGTTATTTTGGACATGTCAACTCCTTTGTTTTTTATAGACACAAATGACAGCATTGAATTCTCATAGCTTGCAATTAGTTAAAATTCATGTTAGTGAGCCTAATGTTGTTGACAATAAGTTTTTGAAATGAACCTAACATGTTCTTTTCCAACCAAAAGTTTTTGGTTCGTGCTAAAGAAAATTAGAGAACTTGTGAAAAGGAGGTCAAAAGTCTTAAACTGATTTATTCCCCCACCCCATGTGTAATATATCTATGTATAAGAATAAAAACTAAAATATAAAACTTGTGAGTAACCCTGAACACAAGTTATGTGCGTTGTACATGATTTATTTTTATGAAAAACTAACGGATGTTAGATGAAAAGTTCATGAGTTCAGATAATTGATATGATAAATTGCTTAAAATTTTAGTTTGTATGGCAAATTGAAAAAGAATGTATAAGTTGATATGACATTTAAAAAAATTTCCCATATTATTTTATTGCAAGGATAATATAAGAAAATTGGCGACATGGTTGGTGTCTTGAGAAAGAGGTTGACATTCTCTCGTGTGGAGTTTCATTCTGCCTTTAAATTTTGCTACGTGACATTCTACTATAGATTTAACTCCTAAATTTTTTTTTTTGGTCAAATAGTAGATTTCTAGGGAAATTTTATTTAAACTCATCTAACCTATTTATACACCCAACTTACTTTTTACACCCATTTGATTTTTAACTAAACTATTAATATCTCTTTAAACCCAAATTTAATACCTAATATACCCCCATAAACTGAATTCATTATATACATTTATTTTTACATCTGTTAGATTTTTAACCCAGAAACTGCCGCAGCAGCTTGTGCCACTTGACTGCTGAATAGTTACCGCCAAATAAGCTCATTGATTCTTCAACAGATGTAAGATTGAAATCGAAGAAGAAGACTAAGAATATGGAGAGAAAATGGGGTTTTGCGTGTGAGTTTTGGAGATTGATTTTGGGTTTAAGCTTGGTTTATGTGGCGATGTGCGGGTTTTATAAGATGGTTTCGGGTGCATTGAAACCAATTCTGTCGCCGGAGATGGTGAGAAATGTTAGTTAAAAATCTTGGGTTGTGGATGATATGAATGGCAGGCTAAGGTTCTTGTAGAAAGAGATGTAGGGTCTTGTTCCTGGGAGGGTTTCGAATTGCAGCTATCCTAGTTCTATATAGGACATAGTCAGGTACTTGGTAATCAAACTTCTGCTTTACAACTTTAATAGCAATTCAGCATTATTCGGTGATAAACTTGAAACGTCTGTTCCAAAATTCACAAACTTGTTAATGATGAAATGTTAGGATGGTTTGCTTTTAAGCTCACATTGCACATTGTATAAATCTGCAATTGAGGAGGTGTGGATATGGGGATGGCCTTTGCACACCGCCGGGTTGCTCACGAGTGGGTTTTCTCTTAGCAGATGTCCGGACCTCATATCTTGCGAGAAGCTTCGAAAAAATGTCCCCTTGTTATGTTGTATTTGTGGAACCCGTTGAGCTTAATTGTTATCTGATCTCGAACTGTATACGTTCGCTAAGGTGTAATGTAATCAGGAAATTGTTGCTTTCCTGATTATGATTAACTAGCAACAAACTACGTTTTGTTTGGCGTTAGGAATCCAGGTAGATAGTAACTCAAACTGTCATAAATGAAAAAGGTTTCGCGTTGTAGCAAACGAAATATCTTTTTCAACACGACTTGTACCTGAAGAGTTTTTACCTCTGAAAATACTACATTTGACTTGCAAATTTCCAGATAATACAATTCGTGGGAAGTGTCTGTAAATATTAGAGGTCACATAAGCGTTAATCAATAAAAGTTAGTCATCAGCAAGAACATTAGACCAGATCATTGGGATAGTTTTCTGATTGATTGAATTGAACGAATTTGGCGTTCATATTTTAGTAAGTAGAATGAGATTTAATCTCAAATGGAGAATAAGTTTACCAATAGTCTTTACAAGAAGAAAAACCATGTTTGTAGTGGTGAAACCTAGTCCTATCTATGAGAGCTATTAGGGTTTTAACCAGTATAAACGTAGAATAAACAAAGAATGATCGTAACGTTTAATTATAATGTTTGGGTTTATTGATAAATTTGAATTTTATTATTAATTTCATTTTGTACTTAATAGTAATTATGCAATAGGATAAAATAGACAATTAAAATTCAAAATTTTAAGTTGGGTATAAAAAAAGAGGTTGCATGGGTTTAAATAAAATTTTCCTTTATTAAATTAGATGTTAGATTAGCTACTTACGGATTCGAACTCACACCGTCATGAAAGCGCTCAACTCCTTTCCACCACTGTGGTAAAGGGCCACTTGCGATTTAACTCCTTAGTTGGAGATGCCAAAATCACAAACCTAACATCTGTTAACAATTTCAAACACATATAATAGGAAAGGTTGATATGAACGTGTCGGATGAAACATAAAACTAAAAAGTGATAACCAATAAAATTCTATCAAAATTAATAATTAAATTAATGGAAAGGTCTGCCGCTTAGTTGTACGCTCTAGTCATATGCTTCTCTATTAACAAATGGAAAGTCTTAGTTTCGACTCTTGAATAGCAAGTCCAATAATAAACCATTATGGCTCGCCCATTGTCTCACTGAGGCTAAATCCTCCACCACTTAGTGTAAAAGCATTCGATAAAAATAAATTATTAAGCCTTTAAAATGCAAAAACATACTACAATCTAATACCATTTCTATTCACATGTAAATGAAAGGTTTTATAGTCGAATCTCATGAATGATGAGTTTATAACCAATTTATTTTCTCATCCGCTTAGCATATAAAACATCGCAGTATAAATAAATAAATAAAATTACACCCTCTCTCAGCGTGCTATCTATTTGTGCCCTACTTAATGGTTCAGATGTGAGCTTTGACCCATCATCTATTCTAATCTAAATGTCACAATGCCACATGGTCCATACGTATTACGTACTTTTGTTACACCTTAATACACGTGATCATAACTTAGTCCCTTCTAACCTGCTGCTCAAAACCTATCTTTCCTTGTAGGGTGGGTTTGAAAAATTGAAAATCCAAGAATATCAAAAACCAAACCGAAGTGGAAAAAATCGAATTAAAAAAAAAATCAAACCAAAACTGTTAAATCGAACCGAATTGAACTGAAATGTTGTTAAAACGACGTCGTTTTATATTTATTACTAGAAACGGCGTTTCGTTCAGTCTGAAAGTTTGTATTGGTATTGGTCGACGTCGTTCAGTCTGAAACCCTAAGGCCTATACGTCGATCCCTCATCCCTCTGTCTGTACACTGGAGTCTGGACCCTCTCCTTCCCAGCCTCCGCCGCTCCGCGCACCCTCTCTCAACACAATCAGTCTTCGTCTTCCTCCTTCCCAGCGACCTGCGACCCGTCTCACTCTCAGTCAGTCAGTCAGTCTCTCACATCTCGCCGATTTGCAAGTGTCGCCGTCTTACTCTCAGTCTGTCGCCCCCGTGACCCGTGACCCGCGAACCGCGACTTCCTCTCGCCGTTTCGAGTCTCGACTCACGACTTCCTTTGCAAGGTTAGTCTCATGTTCTACAGATTTTCTTTTCAATTTCATGGGTTTTGCAGATTTTATTTTCAATTTCATGCGTTTCTGCAGCTTTTCAATTTCATGGGTTTTGCGATTTTCTTTGATTTTTAGTGGTTTTTGTTGTTCCTATGATAGTAATGCTTACTATTATTGTCAATTAGAAGAATCTGATTGAAATGGTAAGAATAGATATTTTTCGTACTGTGAAGTTGAATGCTAAGAATACAGAGGTAGGAAGGGGATTTGTGAGAGTAAAAATATATTTTCTAAAAAAATGAGATGAGAAGTAAAGGAAAATGATATTATGTTGATAAAGGGGTCGATTCTGTTGGATGAGGAGCAGAAAGACTGATGGAGTATAGGAATGAAAATAACTTTTAAAGAAATTTTCTTGTTGAATGATAATATTCAAATGACATGGAACTTTTGAATGATTCAGAATTGTGGGAGAGGAAGCTTAGAGTAACTTAAAGCTATATGATGATGTCCACATTCTTGAATTACAATACAAATTTTTCTTTCAATGGTGTATGTAATCCAGTATGATCTGTTTAATCTAGTTTGTGATTTTTATGTTTTAGTAATTATTTTTTCTTGATAGTTAAACATTAGAATGTCAGTTTTGGTTAGGCACTGCCACAGAAATGTAGTTCTAGAAGGCCACTGAATGTAGGCATGTAGAAGTTAATCAGTAAATAAGTAGGCTGAGATGGCATGGAATACAAAACATGTTCGAGTGTTGAAGTTAGTAAACACTGATTTGTGGTAGTACTACTGTGGGTTTGATATTTACGTTCATGTGCAGTGTAGTTTTGATATGTACATATGTGCAAATGCATAAAGATATCCACGCCTTTTTTATATTTGTTTTAGATTTTCAAAAGCTTAATGTTTTCATATAAACCTTGTAATAACATATAAATGTGTCAAAGAAAGGGTGATAAATATTTGGTTATTTAAAACGTGGATCATATGGACAATAGATATTTTTCATACTGTGAAGTTGAATGGTAAGAATACAGAGGTGGGAAGGGGATTGTTGAATGATAATATTCAAATGACATGGAACTTTTGAATGATTCAGAATTATAGGCAATGCAGTTCCATTCTATTGTATTCACTGGGGTTAAAGTTCATTTCAAAGAGATGCATAACTTATTTGATGGATCATATTTATTCATGGTTCATAAGCACAAGAGGCTAGTAGTTGGGTTTCATTTGGCTGTGCATTACTTCTCTGGATGAACATATGATCAGGCTTGTTGATTTGGCGGAGGGATTTGATGAACTCATTGGATGGACAGCTTTATGTACAGTTTTATGTTATGTAACTGGTCTATGGGAAAGCTTTATGAATCGTGATTTTTTTTGTTCCCTAATTGAATCTTATTATATGTTTTGTATCTTAATTAGATGAAGTTTGGACTTTGGAAGACTTGATTGATAATTCTAGTTGAACTTTAAATGTTTATTTTCATTGTCTTTGATTCTAGTTGGAATTCTTATGTTATGATTGTGTTGAAAAAAAAAAAAAAAAACCCCGAAACCGAACCAAAATTGATCCGGAAAAAACCCAGCCCTACTTCCTTGTTCTCTCTTTGCTTCCCACCCAGCGCTGCCGTACGCTCCATCTACTCACCTCATAAGGCTTCTCCTCAGTTCCGGCTGTATTCTTCCTATTGGTAAACTCGATAGCTTATTTTCTTTTCCTGTTAATATGATAAAAAGAATAAGAAATATAGTATTTATTTATTGTTTTTTTCTCAAAATTTATGCTTTGATTCTTGTTGGGTTTTGTTTGCTTTTGTTTCTGTTTGTTGGTTTACTACATAGGATTAATTCATTAACTTGGTTTTCAAAATTATTATTCTGCCTAAATTTATGTCATCTGTGAGTTATGGCTTGCTGTTTGAATTTCTGATTCCTGTTTGAGCATTTGAATTGGTTTTATTTGTGTTTCTGATTTGTTCTGCAACTTGGTGAGTTTCCACTTGCATTTTCAGGGTTGGCCATGACGGTTTTCGGTGTTAGTTATGGGGTTTTGAACTTGTCGTAAAGTTTCACTTTACCCTAGCATAGATACATATGTTTCTCGTTGTCATTTGGAGCTTTGAATCCAAATTCACTTCATTGCCGACGTTATTCTAAATAGTACTTAAGTTAAGCCGTTGGTTCAATCTTTATTAGTGTTTTGCTTAATATGCATTGTTGGTCAATTTTTCAAACAACTTGAGCTTCTGGGGTTTTAGTGGATGTACGTCTAACAAGGTATTAGAGCCTTTGGATTTCAGTGCTCAACAGTTATTGTATAGATTTTCCTAAAACTTGGACTTAGTTCAGTTATGTTTTCTTTTATCTATTGCCATTACAACTAACTAGTAGTTTTCTCATCTGACTTTTCTTTTCTGAGAATAACAAGTCCAACTCATTAAAACCTTAGACGGTGGAAAACTGGCAATCTGTGTTTTGAAATTCCCCCTTTTCAGCTTTCTTGAGTTAACTTGAGTAGTTTTTTGTTTGAATACCTCAGTATTTAGAAACTGATCAAATATTTTTTGCAAATGCTTTCTTCTTAGTTTCGGATAGTTATGTTGCCTTATGAAATAAGTTTTTATTGGCTTTACTATAACATTTTGTGGTTTGTATTGTGCTTGGATGGTGGTTCTGGAGTTGTTCATCTTTTTGTGCCTTTTGCTTTTGTTTAACTGATGTAACTCAACGGTTTTGCATATTTTTTGTTGAAGAGTATATCAAGCATACATTTCATGAGTGATTAAGTTTCTGCCAAATAAATATGAAAACGATTGACTGAAATATTCTGTGATTGTTCTGGGAAGCCATGCTCCAGTGGTTGTGTGCCTCTTGAATAGTGTTTAAATATTAATGAATGGTGCTATGTCTAGGAATTATCAGCAGTACAGAACCTTAGGAGACATAACACGGACAAAGATGAGACCTTTAGACGAGACTGAGACCACGACAGTGTTTGAAAAGCTGTTCAAGTTTACAGGCAACAACCTCAAAAACATTGTCGAGAACCCTTCTCATGAAGGCCCAGACCCCGGTTCAGGTCGTTACTGCTTTCGCCTCCACAAGAACAAAGTTTACTATGTTAGCGAGTCACTAGTTAAGCGTGCTACAAATATAGCTCGGACCCAGCTAGTCTCTCTTGGCACCTGTATCGGTAGGTTCACTCATGGAGGCAAGTTCCATTTAACTGTTCAATGTCTGAGTTTATTGGCATCAAATGCTAAACACAAGGTCTGGCTCAAACCTACCTCCGAGATGTCGTTCTTGTACGGAAACCATGTTTTGAAAGGTGGTTTGGGGAGGATTACAGAGAATATTGTGCCAGGTGATGGCGTGGTTGTGTTTTCAATGTCAGATGTGCATTTGGGTTTTGGGATTGCTGCCAAGTCTACTCAAGATTGTAGGAAGTTGGACCCCAATGGAATTGTGGTACTTCACCAGACTGATATTGGAGAGTACTTGAGGATGGAGGATGAGCTTTGAATAATTAGACGGGTTTTGAGTGGTTATGACAGATGTGTTGGTGTCTTCTCAAGATTTGTGCGGGTCATGTAAGTCAATCTTCAGCTTTTGATCAATATGAGGATATGGATGATTTTGTTGAACCTTAGTTTCATTAGAGATTTTTAGTTTTGATATAAATTCTATATTATCAGGAACTTCTGCAAGATTATTCTTACTTCAATTGTCATACTTTTTATAAAGTTGTTTTTGTCGTTCTGATTTTGGTTTGATGTTGCTGCTATCGAACTGCTGTAGGACCAAATTTCACTACAACCAAATTGTTATTTGCGAATGCACATAAACCAGCTAACTGTTAACCTCACTATAACCTATCGAAATGGTTGAATTATTTATTGTAAGTCCATGGTAGCCAAAGGAATCTCTTACAGCTTCACCTAGCTCGACATTAATTGGAGATAAGCTTACATGGCACGGGTACACCGCAACGTTGCATCATTGGCACGGGAGGCAACTGTGATGGTTTACTCATTCCAGGAAAGTTGTGGTGTTTGCAGTCGAAGCTGATCAAGAAGCTACTACCTCTCTCTATGCAACCAACTTCCCTTTTGAAACTTGCTCTTACGTTCCAACTCTTTATTTTTATTTATATTTTTCAAAGTTTTCCAAGAGCTCCTGTACTCTTGCTACCTTAAAAGGAACTCCGAATCCTTTTAGGCCTAAAATTTGTATTCTGAACATGTACCAAAAGTTGGCTTTTGTATCTTAGGGGTGGAACGGATAGGATTGGATTTTGTATTTTGGACTGGTTAGGCTAGGATTATATTGGACAGGTTCGTTTATTTGTCTACTGTTTTGTGTAGACTCCATCCATATGATTGGATTGAATTGAATTGAAAACTGAAAGGTGAAACTGACGGGAAGGCATGACCAATCCACGACGTCGATTGCGACAACCCGATGGTGCCGCCGCTCCTGAAGGTCTGGCGACTCGACCATGGCGCTCGTGATGACCCACCCCCACCCCGAAGACATCGCTCGCGGCGATTCGACGACCCTGCTCCCAATATCCAACGAGAGAGGTACTAGTAACCATGGCAACTGATGGGTTATGAATCTTGTGCTATTCTGGACTTGCATCCAAAATAGAAATCCTGTGCATGATACGTGGTAACGGCATCTAACAATGGCTTGGGATTTGAGTCCATTAATTGACCATAGCATGTCCCATCCGGCCCATCAGACCGGCCCAGTGTCCAAGACTAGACCATATTTACGAGATATTTGAGTGAAAAATTAGGGCATTACTTATCAGGAAGAGGAACATAAAATATACGTACCATTTATATTTTCGACATTTCATTCGCTTACTAACACAAAAGAAAATAAAAATGAGAAGTTTTAAGTTTAAATCTCATAAGTATATCGTTATATCAAAATAAGTAAACTAAAACGAGCGAGTCCCATGCTGAAAACGTGTTTCACTTCCAATTTCAGCAAGGTATCATTTTCATTTTCCACTTTAATCCCACAATCGCTTGGTGGGAAACTACTCATGACTCAGAGAGCCTCAAACACTTGTGAGATCTAAAGTGAAGGCGTCATTGATTCGTCGAAATGACAAGGAATCAACACAAACAAACACCAAGAGGATAAAGATCTCACCGTGACGAAAGAGATGGCAGGGGTTCAACCTTGAAAGGCTGCCGAATGGAGGAGATCCGCCACCAATGATGCTCTGTTCTCATGAAATGATGTTGCTGAATAAGTTGGCGAGCGAAGAAAAAATTAAAACTTAGCGACACTTGTAAGACAAAAATGCTCAGCAAAATAGTTAACATGATTCATTCATAATTCAAGATACATTGTCACGGAGAACATGATTCATAAGAACAATGTTCATATTATGAATCGTGTGCCATCATTTTCGTATAAATATCACTACGATCGTAGTGAGCTATTGTGTGCAGATCCATATTGGAAGAGTCTTTACTGTGTGCCATAGTTTTGAAATAAACATCATTCTTTCGCTGCTCGTAGTAAGCTCTTGCACGTGGCTCCATGTTGGTGGTGTCCATACTCATAATTCGGTCATCATGCTCTCTTTGCTCCCTTTCATTTGCTTCCTCCATCACCTTTACCTTTCTTTCTGCAATTTTCGCCTTTCTGTCATCTGTTTCGGCCAATTGTTTGGTAAGCTTCTCCATCACGTCACATAAACGAGAATCCAAAGTTTCTACTACCTTGCTTCTTTTGCATGCTTCCTTTTCAGCTCTTCTTCTGGATCGTTTCCTTTTAAGAAATTCAGCTGTATAATATGGATCTTTGTCAGTGTCATGTGAGACGAGAGTGTCAGACTCCTTTGATTGTGAAGAGAATGAGGAATCATTGTTCGGGTTTGTCGCAATAGAATGAGGATCAGACCTCTTCGGTGAGGAATTGATGTTCAAGTTTGCAGCAACAGTAGGAGGATCTGACCTCTTGGGTGAGGAATCAACATTTGTGTCTGTTGCCATAGTACGAGTACCAGACCTTGTCGGTGAGGAAGTGATGTTCAGGTTTGCAGCCACAATAGGAGGATCATACCAGTCTGTAACCATAGTATCAATATCAGACCTCTTTGCCGGTGTCAAACCTCTCCATTTGATGCTATGCTGCAAAATTTCCCAGCAATGATTGAATGCAAAACGTTTCTTCTCAAGCTTCAAGTACAATATATTTGCTTGAAGAACCTAGATATGATTTTAAGAAGATAGCTATTTAGGGAAAATTATTACTAAAAAAAAGAAAAGTATTTAAGAAATACTTTAAAGAAGGCGAAGGAAAGTACAAATTCTCACCTTGTTAGATTCTGTCAATCCACTTTGTTTCTCTTCTATTTTGGTAAGACATTCATGAAACTGATTGCAACTTCCAAGAATTATTTTCCACCTAGACTGGACAGAACATCGTGATCGCTCATTTTGATCACCAGTTATCTCAACATATTTTTGGTATATTCGATCCCAGGAAATACATTTTGATTGCGGAACAACATTGAGCAGATCCTGAGAGACACTTAACCGAGCATTGCAAACAGCAACATCTTGATCCAACGTGAATGATTTTCCCCTTGTCATTGGTTGTCGAGTGTCATCCAATTTCAACAAAACTGGAGTAATAACAAATAAAACACAACAGCAAAATGAACATAAACTGGCAGGCTGATTTCGACAAAAGAGTAAAACACAACAGCAAATCACAAGACGGTCAGTAGCCTCCTAATTTACAAAATTTTACAAGAACAAAGCACAAACAAAAAACTAGAGCATGATCTTATTTACAAGTTTCAGAAAATGTGCATTCTCTTCCAACCGCTTAACAACTTTTTGAGTTTTGAAACGCTTTAAAATTTGGTAGCCTTATGGGAAGGATACTGCATATCTCACTGAATATTCATGCAAAAGTCCCGTGTATCTACCCTAAGTTCCAATTAAGCTAACAGATCACAAGAAGTTGAGTGTAACGCCTTACTAATACATACGCATTTTCAGTCCCTCAACTTCCTCTTCATATGATTATATATCATTTGCAGTCTTGCAGACTCAATATCAGCAATAATGACAAACACCCCCCAATCAAGCAAACATGACTCCATGCAATCATTTAAATTTCTTTTTGTGTAATTCCCGAAGTTTACATAGAAATTCAAGTGTCAATAAATCAAAAATAAAATAAAGACAGAAAAATCTATATGAATTCACAGTTTTACGCACTAATTATTTCCCATCTAAACAATTTGATCTGCAATATGGTGGATGAAACTTAAGACAGAGCACACTAGAAAACGTCTAAAAACCTTCTTCCTCCATTGTACACACTTCTTCACTAGACCCTGCATAGATGACGTTACTAGCATTAATAGTTACATCTTCTGCTTTTCGCCTTTTCGCCTTTTCTCCTGGACTCTACAAGTTAACCAGTTCAAGCTATATCCTAGGCTAGCTGACAGAAGACAAAAATTTCTAATTAAAATTTGTAGTCCATCAGCCCAAGTTTCCATCTTTAGCACACTTTAGAGGCTTCAGTCTCCCGCCCCTTGACAATCCACACACCCCCACCCCAAAACCCACCACAAACAAATTCCCAGCTCCATTTACTAAGACACTGTATAGTAACCATATTTACAATGGTTGGGGTTACAGGCATAGTCGTTAGGTACACTTCTAACCACCACAATTGCAGATGGAGGAAGTGAAACCGATGCGGTTCCACATAGACAAATATCAGAGTTTCCACAGGACTATGATCCAAAATTGAACTCTCACACATTGTAATCGGAAGTGGAAGAGAAATAAACTTACTAGTAGCCAGAAACTGCAATTAAACCTCCTTAGTTCAAGAGCCTTATACTAACTCAACCGGCAAGTCTGCAACCATAAAATTACAATTAACAAAATTAATTAACAGTTCAAAACAAAACTTGATTAAAAACTTACAATAAACAACGTATGAAATAAAAGTAAAAGTGTAAACCAACGATAGTGATCGGAACATTAAAGATGAAACAGAAAATACAGTTAACAGAGGCAAACGAAATCAAAAATACAATTAACAGAACAATTACATCAACAGTGGCACAGAAGCACACAACATGAAATGTACAACTGCAAAGAATCTCTTTAGTATTTCTCCTCACAATGGAATACAAAAGGCTTTTCAAAAGCATTAAACTTTGCAGTCTTCAGTTATCTCTGTCTTAATTAGCTATGCACACCTGAAAATACTTTCCTAAAATTACGGTGTTACTTGCACTTTCCACTTCATGACGTCTATTTATACTTTAAATAGTATTTAAAGTTCTTAAAGATGCATCTCTCTTCCATGATACTGGAGTAAATATTAAACATGAGATTATTACAAAGAAAGATGAGAATAAATTATTGCACTCCGAACTCTCACCTTTATCACAATTAAGTCAGCGGAAATGCACGAAAGAAATAAAACCAAAATTATAGAATTCTTGAAATGCAAAATAAAAAGAAATAAGTAGCAGCACATGAAATTAAGAGCAGAATCAACTTAGCCGAGCCTATAAGCGTGGGCTTGTAGCCAAGTAGGGCACCCACCATTTGGTGTGCGAGGTCACATTAAGCACGCCTTAGCTACTCGGGTTAGTAGGGCACCCCACACACTATGAGTGGGTAGCAAACAAAAAAACTGAGAATCGACTTGGAAGAACGTAATCAACTTAAACGAAACACAAGAAATAAAAGATAATAATTAAAACGAAATTGACATCACCCTTAATTCTCCGAACGACATTTTAACAAATTTAAATATACATACAGAACCATTCCAACCTATTTGACAAAACGAGCATAACAGTACATAAAAGCCCTTACCATTCCAACCCAGATGAGAAAAGAGATGCAAGACAAACAGAAAGTGAGTAATTTAAAGCAATATGGGGGGAAAATGTCACACCCCAGCAAGGAAATCTCAAAGGGTAATCAGCTCGAACAGGCATAACACATTACGAAAAGCAAATTGTGAAAGTTCAAGTCAGTTCGTTTCCAGCTTACCAAACACAACTTAACTCAAACAAACAAAAAGAACACACCACACAAATGCATAGAGGTTAAGCTACAAGACACCGAATAGGCAATGTGGTAGAGAGAGAGAGAGAGAGAGAGAGAGAGAGAGTTACCATTAGTCAAAAGAGTAGCAAGCGTCGATGGGCGGCAGAGGAGAGAGTTGAGGCCGAGAGGGTTCCCCTGTGTGAGAGAAGAGAAGATGAAAAATCATATGCAAAACGAGGGTTTTGTGTTTTGCGAGTGATTCTGTGCAGGAAGGACCACAATAAGCTCTTTATTTATTATTATTTTTTTTTTTATGTTTTTTAAGAATTGACTCAAATGGTTCTAAAACCCTGTAATCGAACGGACTCGTGTTCACCTACCGCTCAATCATGATTCAATGGTAGAGCAAATCAAGACTACATAAAGGGGAATAGGTTTAAATCTTGTCAAATCTGACAAAAACTTAATCTTGTTAATTAAAGATTTCATGATCTAGATTCAATAGGGTAAACATGTTAGGTGAGACTCAATAAGTTGACATACAAATTCAACTCATACCTATGGTGATTAGTATGTTATGTGTTGATGTGTAGCATACGCTATGCATTTAACGGCATTGATTTCTTAGCATTAAGAGGAATTTAGGCAGAAAATTTTTCGTCGATGTAGTGTAAATGTGGTGTCCCATTTGTGAGAATCATAAAAACTCTACTTTCTATAAAGCTCGCTCATGAAACCTAAGATATGTTCAGGACCAAAACGAACAAAAACATATAAACTATTATTTGTTAAGAAGTGATCCGTGTAAATTTGATATTCACTAGGCCACCATGTAAATCTGATATGTTCTCACCAGGCAAAGTTCAAGTCCAAAGCATATAATTTATTCCTTATTTAGCATTCATTTGCATTTAAATTTGCATTCAAATGTGGGTATTGTAAAATGTTTGAATAGATTTTCAACTCAAATGTGGGGGTATATTATGTGTTTGAGTTGAGATTTCTTTCTTGTCCCATATTGGTGGCAGAAGAAAATTCCTTGTGCTTTACAAGTATGATCCCTCGTACAAAACTAAAATAAATTAGAGACAATCACCAGAGGTAGAGCCATGAAGGGACTAAGATGGTCCTAATGTTGAGACTTGTCTTAGTGTTGGGACTTTAAATATAAATAGTTTAACTCGGGAGACGGTCACCAGAGACGGAGCCATGAAGGGACTAAGATGGTCTTAGGCCCATCCAGGAGGGCTTTTCATTTGGGGCTCGATGGCCTCTCTCCTCTTTGGAAAACCTTTTGGAATGCAAAAATCCCTGGAAAAGTGAAGTTTTGTATTTAGAATGCCTGCTCCTATATACTTCCTTCTCAAGAGAATCTGGTGAAAAAGCTGTGAATATGGACACGACTTGTGTTTTGTACAGTTCCTCTTCGGAATCGGTGCTGCACATGTTCAAGGAGTGTTCATATGCTAAAGCTGCCTTCTTTTCCTCTTCCTCCAACTCCGGATAAGCAGCTTTCCTCATTTTGACTTGGCGGATTGGCTCCTTAATTAGTTTGTTGCCCTCTATGCCATAAGGTCACTTTGATTTTCTTATGTTTTTAATGATTGAAGTATGGCGTTCTCGTAATTCATTACTGTGGGGTGGTGTGTACACCGATCCCTCTTCGCAGTTGCAGGATATTTTTGCAGTGCAATCAGTCCCTACATCCCTACATCTCTTCGCAGTTGCAGGATATTTTTGTAGTTTTTTGTGACAACAATGGTGAGTTTGTGGGAGGTTTTGTCGCAGATTCTTAGACATCTCCAACTCTAATCATGTGGAATTTTCGGCAGTTAAGGAAGGTCTTCGGCTGCATTAGAACACCGTTTCTCCAACCTCCTGGTTGAAAGTGATTCATTCAAACTTGTGCAAGCTGTGAGCTCTATCCGCCGGAATCTGTTTCTCTTCTTAATAAGATTACCGAGGACATCAAACTGTGGCTCCGCTCTCCTAATGGTGCGAGAGTCTCACATGTTCGACAGTCTGCCAATTCAGTGGCTCACAGGCTAGCTCGTATGGCCATATTTTTCAATTTGAATTCTTGTTGGTTCGATGAACCATCGGATTTAATCCATGATGTATACTTTCTGATTGTACTCATGTTTAAATGAATAAAGGCGCTATCATTTCTAACTCAAAAACTTTTGATACAACGATTAGGGGATAAATTGATTTCAAACTCGTCATTCATGAAATTCGAATATAAGACATCTCACTTATAGTGAAGAGGAATGCCATTTGACTGGAGTACTAACTGACGTTTATAATGAGGTTAAGTTACGTCCATATGGTCTACATGTAATATGTATTCTTCTAAACTCATAAGTGGAAGGTCATAAACTCGACTACGTAAATAGTGAGTTCGAAACTAAATTATTATGGCTCATTGTATGACTTATCATATCCACCCATTTACATCGTTGCATTAAAAAAGTTATGTGCATAAGGTTAATATCATCTTTTCCGTGCATATTTTGTTGATAAAGACTATTTAATCAATAGTATAGATCTTTAACGATTGAATATAATGACATATTTACTTGCAAAGAATAAAAATTAATATCTATAACTGTTGGCTTGTACCTAAATTGATTAAGTAAATTTGCCCCTTCATCCGAAATCTCGTGTTCGAATCCCTCTATGAATGATCCTATAGTTTGTTTAACAAAAAAAAAAAAAAAAAAAAAAAAAAAAAAAAACACTACAAGGACAACAGAGGTGGAAAATGCAAACAAAACCCTACAGGAACAAAAGTTAAAATTTAGGTAAATTACAGGGACTATGAATGCGATTTAGCCAAAATATGACGTAAAAACAGAAAAGTAACACGATGTGGTAATTGGACTCGTGCAATAGAACTGGGGTCTTTGAACAAAGCGCAGTCAGAGCTTGAGCTTGACAACAATGGCTGCTGCTACTGCTTGTCTCCAACTCAACGCTATACCCTTCAGCTCCTTTCTCTCTCCCAACCCTATTTCCAAACACACCCCGAAAGTGGGCAGGATCAGTTGCTCCGCAGCCTCACCCTCCAAACGCTACTCCATCACTTTGCTTCCCGGCGATGGCATTGGCCCCGAAGTCATCTCCGTCGCCAAGAACGTCCTCAACCTCGCGGCCTCCATCGATGGTTTATTTCAATTCTACTTATTTTCTTTATTTTCTCAGTTTTATTTCGATTTAACCTGTTTGGTGTCCGAGAAACGGTGGGAAAATAGAAAAGGAAAAGTCTTTTTACTTTTCCCACATTTTCTCAGGGTTATTGTTTTACATTTGGAGCTGCTCCGTGTGCTGTATAATCGAGTAATTTTGCTGGGAGATTAGTAATTTTATAACATTTGGGCGTTTGAATAACTAAATGTGTTTGCATAAACTAGGGATTGAGTTTAAGTATGAAGAAGTACCTATTGGTGGAGCTGCCTTGGATTTGACTGGACTTCCATTACCTGATGAGACCCTTTTGTCAGCTAAGCAATCCGACGCAGTTCTTCTGGGAGCAATTGGGGGGTAGGTCGTGGTTGTCCTTCTCAATCCGTTTTATTGTTAGTGATTATCGTTTTCTAGTGATGTAATTTAGTTATTTCGACTGTTGGTGTTGAAGGTACAAATGGGATAAGAATGAAAAGCACTTGAAACCAGAAACTGGGTTGCTTAAACTTCGCGAAGGTCTTAAAGTGTTCGCGAATCTGAGGCCTGCTACTGTTTTGCCGCAGGTAAATATCTGTTATAATCATTACCGAGAATTCAATTTATTATCCTAAAACTAGTGTTCCTTTATTTCAAATTTGAGGCCTGCAACTGTTTTCTTATGTTATCAATTGAGAAACTATAGAGTTCACATAATTGATATAGAACCTTGAAACCATTGTTTCTTTATTTCTAACTTATCATTTTATGTTAATTACTCTTTAAGTTAGTGGACGCTTCAACTTTGAAGAGAGAAGTAGCTGAGGGGGTTGACCTTATGGTTGTAAGAGAGCTCACTGGAGGTTAGTGTACCAAATTTAAACTAGTGACCAACTTCATGAACTTTCTCGTGTTGAGGGTTTTTTTTTTTTCACTTGAATTAATGAAGTCATTCTTGTTTTTGCGGAAATAGGTATATATTTTGGAAAACCTAGGGGTTTTGGCACCAATGAAAATGGCGAGGAGATTGGCTTCAATACAGAGGTGTATGCGGCCTATGAGGTAGTTTCCTTTGTTCCTTTCTGAAAGTTATGTGTTAAGTCCTGCTTTTTCTGATGAACTGTCAGCCATAAATGGTTCCTATAAACCCAAAGAATTTCTCTTTATGCACAACCAAACACCATTTATCCTACGGTATCACTTCATGGTCTTTCTTTTATTTCTATTTTATTTCTGAAGGGGCAACAATATTGTGAGTGTTGACTTTGCTCTGTGCTGAATTCACAAGCCTTTCACTGTATTGGGACTACGTGCCAGTTCCAACCATTAGATGATTTCATAGTTGAAATAGGAACTTGAAAATTGTTAGGTTTCTTTTAAATAGATTCCAATGAGAACTTTCTGTGAGTTTCAGGATTTTAAAACTTTCAGGTCTGTTGTTATAAACTGTATTCAGAACTTTATAATTGCAGGTCTGTGTATGAGTGGTTATTTAACATGAAATAATATTCTTGCCAGATTGATCGAATTGCTCGTGTTGCATTTGAGACTGCTCGGAAGCGGAAGGGAAGGCTCTGCAGTGTTGACAAGGCAAATGTGTTGGAGGTACTTTTTCAATAGAAGAACGTTTTTTCTTTTCTTTTCTTCTTTCTCATTTGGAAAGTTGTCAGAACTTGTTCGACATTTTTCCAGAATAGAGGCATAGAGCATTTTCTTTCTGGTTATAATAGCATGTAAGCATTACATGCTATGGGACTAGCCATTCTGTTTTACAACTTCCCAATGCATGATCCATTAGTTGATTGTTTAATTGCTCCCGAACTGATGCCAAGAAGTTTTACATATAGTCAGAAATGATATCATTGGTTTCTACACATGTTAATTTATCATTCATGTGGCTTGACTAGTCAAGCTCATCTTTTGCCTTGAGTTAACCAGTTATGCCCCTTAGGCACTGTTTCAGAAGAATCATTCACTTGTAAAAGGAACTTATGGGTGCTTAACGTGGCTTTTACGAACATATGATGTCTGATTCTAACCTTTTGTAATCCTAATTTGGTTGTTGATTAAAGTGAAACCGAATGTTTCATACTTATATACCCTCATTATTT